CCTGGGAAGTGTAGGGAAACCTTGTGTCTACAAAAAAGGTTTTAAAATTAGCCAGGCATAGTGGCTTGTGTCTGTGGTCCTGGCTACTCGAAAGCCTATGGTGAGAGGATCGCTTCACCCCAGGAGTTCAAGTCTGCATTTAGCCACGATGGCACAACTGCACTCTTGGAGAAAGAGTAAGACCCTGTGTCAAATAATAACAAAAGAAAGAAAGAAAGAGAGAGAGAGAGAGAGAGAGAGAGGAAGGAAGGAAGGAAGGAAGGAAGGAAGAAAAGAGGTGTAAACAAAGGTAATTTTAATAATAGTAGCATTAAAGCTAGGATGGAAATTTATTTAGAATGCCATTGGGAGGTGGAAGCAAAGTCAGGGAAGCCATCTCAAAGTAGGTAGCATAAAAGCTAAATTTCACAAGGATTTCACCAAGCTGAAAGACAGGGAAGGGAGCTCTAGGCCAGTAGAATAACATGCCCAAAATCCAAGCAGTATTCAGAAAAAGGGCAAATGTAGGGGAATGAGAGGCTTAAAACCCTTAAGCAATGTGGATTTAAAAAAGAAAGAAAGAAAGAAAGAAAGAAAGAAAGAAAGAAAGAAAGAAAGAAAGAAAGAAAGAAAGAAAAATGCTTTTAACCATGAAAATTACATGAAACAGATTACAATGCAATGAGAATCAACCAGCAACTGTGTAGAGAATGAGTTGGAAGAGAAAGACCAGAGGCAGGAAGATTAGTTAGAAGACTGTTGCCCAAGCCCAGATAAGAGATGAGGCCCTGGGTTAGGGCAAGGGCTTCAGAGGTGAAGAGACGGTGGATTTTATAAACATTTGCACAAGGAGCTAAATTAAAATGGCTCATGCTTCTGTGTAATGGTGTTGTGCCATAATTGAGGACACGACAGTTAAGGGTGGGTCTTCAGAGCCCCCAGGCACAAACACAGAAGAACCATCATGAAGAAGAGCCACTTTTATTTAAATAGTTGTGCTCTGCAAAGATTTTAGAGGAAAATGAAATCCTTTACTAAATATTTATTAAACTTAACACAGTACATACTCATTTATTGCCAGGCACCATACTATACTCAACAGATACATAATCTCATTTACTATTGGAAATTATTTTTGGGTAAGTTATATTATTTTACATTCATATGTTTGAGTGAATTTAAGTGCCTTGCCCAAGGTCACAGTTAATAACTTGTTGGCTTACACACAGAGAGGAACAAAGCAAGAAAACATTTTAACAGATGCTAAATCAAAGATAAAATGTCTGTATTTCAGGAGCCCATGTGGCCCAGTCTGCACAAATTAAATAAACTCCTAAAGGAAACAGTTTATTTTAGTGTCAAGGCTGGGCGCTGTGGCTCACGCCTGTAATCCCAGCACTTTGGGAGGCCAAGGCAGGTAGATCACCTGAGGTCAGGAGATTGAGACTAGCCTAGTCAACACAGTGAAACCCCATCTCTACTAAAAATAGAAAAAAAAAAGATCTGGGTGTGGTGGCACACGCTTGTAATCCCAGTTACTCAGGAGGCTGAGGCATGAGAATTGCTTGAACCCAGGAGGCAGAGGTTGCAGTGAGCCAAGATCATGCCACTGCACTCTAGCCTCTGTGACAGAGCAAGACCCTGTATTAAAAAAAAAAAAAAAAAAAAAAAAAAAAAAAAAAAAAGTGTGTCAAGATCATGAAAACAAAGAAAGAGAAAAAGAGGCGGTTTGAGCAACTGTCACAGACTGAAATGATTCAGCGGACATGACAATGAAGTCAATGTGGAATTCTGGATTGAATCCTGGCCCAGAGAAATGGTAATAGAGAGACAACTGATAAATTGCAAGTAAGTTTTGTAGATTCATTAATAATATTACATCAATGTTAATTTCCTGATTTCAATAATTGTAACATATAAAATGTCAACATTAGGGGAAGCTGGGCAAAAAGTTTCTCAGAATTTTCTTCAAGTTTCCTAGTCTTCAAGATTTTTTTAAGTCTTAAAATTATTTTCAAAAACGTTAAATACATTGTCTTGGTCCATCTTGTGCTACTGTAACATAATGCCACAGATTGGGTAATTTATAATCAACAGAAATTTATTTCTCATAGTTCTAGAGACTGGAAAGTCCAAGAAAAAGTTGCCGGCATCTGGCAAGGGCCTTCTTGATGTGTCATACCATGGAAGAAGGCAAAAGGTCAAGAGACAGCAAGAAAGAGACACAAAAGGAGGCCAAACCTGTTCTTGTATAAAGAACCCATTCCCATGATAAGGAACTCACTCTCACAATGACAACATTAGTCTGTTGGTGAGGGTGGTGCCCATGTGAGTCAAACACCTACCTTTAGATCCCTCTTCCAACATCAACACACTGGGAAGCAAGCTTCCAAAACATAAGCTTTAGGGGACACATTGAAACCATAGCATACATGGATACATACGTACATACACTTCCCAAAGAGGCTACAGGTATTAAGTTAATCAGGCTTTTTTTTTTTTTTTTTTTTTTGGCTTGCTACTCAAATATTAGCTCTTTATCATTTATGTTGACAGCATTTCTGATACTTTTCAAAATTTTCTTCTTAGCTTTTCTTGTCAAAGGACAGCTTAGAAACTAACTCAGTCCACAAAAATCCTTTCCCTTTGTGCTCATTGCTTCATTCCTATCTCTCAATTCATTCTTATGATTTTGTATCCTAGAAAATCCATGAGCCGAGAAGTGAAAACAGACTCTCATTAGAGAATGGGAGAAAGAGCAAAGCTGACTTACCAAGGATAATTATTTTCATGAATGGAAGAAGAGGAAGACATGAATAAATTATGGCTCTAGAACAAAAACATAATCAAAAGCCACAATCTAGGGATAGATAATAAATTGTGAGGGTGATCAGGAAGGAGTCAAGCAATCTGCAGTGAGAAAATGAGCCAGCTGAGGGTCATCCATATTCTGAGACTAACATTTTGGTTGCCTTGTTAGAAAATAACCTTAGGTGCATTAAAATTTTTCAGCAATGATTGTTGTAGAGAAGAATCATTGATGGATGATGAAATTAATGGGCAAATGTATGATGAGAAACAGGATGTTTGCATAGTCTCAAAGTAGAATTTATGAAGCAGACAGGAATACATAAATCAGGCACCACCAAGAACAGTTCAGGGTGTGAGGGTACTCTTTTATATTGTGTTCATGGAAGCAAGGCAAAGAAAATCTTGATAGGTTAATGTGGAAAGTTTCTAGTTAGAAGTTGACAATTTCTAATTGGTTAAGCTTAAGTTTTGTTTTCCTAGGATATTTCCATTCACAATGAATTGTGACTAGCATTAGTCCGTTTCCATGCTGCTGATAAAGACATACCCCAGCCTGGGCAATTTATGAAAGAAAGAGGTTTATTGGACATACAGTTCCACATGGCTGGGGAGGCCTCACAATCATGGCAGAAGGCAAGGAGCAGCAAGTCACATCTTAGTGGATGGCAGCAGGCAAAGAGAGAGTTTTGCAGGGAAACTCTCCTTTTTAAAACCATCAGATCTTGTAAGACTTATTTGCTATAAAAAGAACAGCATGGGAAAGACCTGCCCCCATGATTCAATTACCCCATAATGTGTCCCTCCCACAAAACGTGGGAACTGTGGGAATTACAATTCAAGATGAGATTTGGGTGGGGACACAGCTAGACAATATCAGACACCATCTCAGCCTAATAGCCTCTCAATTATTATTATTTTTTAATAGCCTTTAGGTGAGCCATTTTCTCTGTATTAAGTTAGGAGTTTTGGAATCAATTTGTGGTAAATCACTTTCACCATTAATTTCTTTGATACACCCCCATCTATATGTACCTAGTTTAATGTATCTAATTTTTATATTTCCTCAAAACCAACCATGGCATAACAAAGAATATATATTTGGTTGTTTTTTTCTCCATCCCTGCTATAGAACTCCTAAAACTCATGTAATTTCCTGAGTGATGGGGAAATAGAAGCATCTTTTCCCATTCATTTTAAGCTCCTTTCAACCATATCTGGCCTTATGCTAATGAGGTGACTTTTGATGGGCTCCTAGATAGCCGCAGCGTGGGGTCTGGTTACCAGAGGAACCAACCATGTGATTAGAGGGTTGGAACTTTTCTCTTTGGGCCTCTAGGGAAAGGAGAGGGCTAGAGATTGAGTTAATCACCAGTGGTCTATATATTAATCAATCATGCTTTTGTAATTAAAGCTTCATAAAAATCCATAGGCAATGGGGTTTGGGGTGCTCCCTGGTTGGTGTACGAACACATTAAGGTGCTGGAAGGGTGGCCCCCAGAGAGGGCATGGAAGCTCTATGGTTCTTCTCCAAGACCTTGCCCTATGCCTCTCATTCATTTGTCTGTCCCTGAATTGCATCCTTTATAATAAATTAGTAAGTCAACTGTTATTTCTGAGTTTTGTGAGTCATTCTAGCAAATAACCAAACCTGAAGGTGGTGTGGGGGGAATCTCCTGACTTTGTAACCAAGACTGACAGAGTGTGGGTACCCTGGGGATCCCATATTTGCAGCTTGCATCAGAAGTAAGGGTAATCTTATGAGAGTGAGTCATCTAACACAATGGTCCCCAACCTTTTTGGCACCAAGGACTGGTTTTGTGGAAGGAGTTGGGGGGAGTAGGGTGGGAAGTGGAGGTGGGAGAGTGGTGAGGTGAGAGAGTGAGGATAGTTTTGGGATAAAACTGTTCTACTTCAGATCCCTTGCACGCACAGTTCACAATATGGTTCAAGCTCCTATGAGAATATAATGCTGAGGCTGATTTGACAGGAGGCTGAGCTCAGGCCATAATGCTTGCTGTCCCACCTCCCCTCTTGCTGTGTGGCCCCACTCCTAACAGGCCACAGACTCTTACCAGTCTTTGGCCAGGGACTGGGGACCTCAGGTCTAACACAAAGCTCAGGTAGTGTAAGGCTGGTTGCCTTACCGGGAGCTTGGATACGCCCATCCCTCTCCCCGCCTGAGAACTACGTCACCACTCCGAGCTCGACACCAAGCCCTGCACTCAGCATCTAACTCTGACATGTGGCTTCCCCAATGCCCACTTCTGCACTCCGCACCAGAATCTGCACTCAACGCTAAACTCTGCACTCGACACCTAGCCCGCCATTGGAAAACCCTGCTAAAATTTAAAAGAAGCCCCTCCAAAACCTGCCCAATAGCATTTTGCCCCATCCAGGTCCCACTCCCCCTGGGCGGCCCACTCACCAGAAATCCCGCCTACCTACCAATAGCAGCTTGCCCCGTCCACGTCCTGTTCCCTCATAACCAATCAAGACACTCACTCGCCATAAAAACCCCACGCCTCGGGAAATCAGGCGCGACTTCCCTGGCCCCTTTCCACGGGACCATGGAATCTCACCCGGGAGTTGAATAAATTGGCATTTAATTTTCTTATGCTGGTCTCAGTTTCCTCATTTTAAACTCGGCAATAACCATTACAGGTAGTTACTGTCAGAATTAAAGTGAAATGTAGGACACTCAACTATGTTCAGATAGTTGGAGAACTGGTTGTTGGTATAAAAAAAATACCCCACATATTTGATGTCAGAAGCGTTGTGAGAAGAAACAATTTAGATGACTGAATTAATTTGTATAGCCTCAAAGTATGGCCCCACAAGAGGCTGATTAATTACAAAGAAAAAATTTAAATCATGACAGTGGAGAAACGTGGCAGATACCACCTTAACCAAGTGATCACATTTCACTTCAACGGTCATAAGATGTATTGACATTATGTAGCTTCCTCTGACATGATGCACCGAGGTCATAACACCATTTCTGTGGCGAGGTCCTCCCCACAATCTCATTCACATTAATGCAGGGAGTGTGGGACTATCTTTTCTGCCTTTTCTTGGAAAATAATACATTTAGCCACTATTATTCCTTGGTCATAGGGATACCTGTGGATGATGTGGAAGCTGAAATAACTTTAATTTAGCTGGCTGTGTAAACAATCATCGAGTAATAGAATCATGTTGATGCAAAATAAGCACTCATTCTATTCGGGGAAACAATTCGATTAAGAACAGAAGCATGTAGAGCCACCCTGTGGTTATGGAGATTTAGTGATTCGTTGCCTGTGGTGGGGGCAGTGCTATTTCTCTCCTATTCTTGCTTTGTCAGTACCCAGCAACCATGCCTAGTTTCCACCCATTACAAAGCAACATGAAACAAAAATCACCAGGGGTTAAAAGACCTAAATTGGATTATGCTCACACCATTTTGAAAACAAGATTTTACTGGTACTTGCAGTCAACTGAATAAATATCCTTACATTAGCTTATGGCTCATTAGAATTCCAATGGCGATTGTTTTTAATTATATGTGTCTGCCTCTGAATACATGGGGAAAGGGCAGAATGATGTAAGGGTTTTAAGACAGGCCAGAGATCCCAGCACTTTGGGAGGCTAATGCAGGCAGATGGCCTCACTTGAGCCCAGGAGTTCGAGACCCAGCCTGGGCAACATGGTGAAACACTCTCTCTATAAAAATTACAAAACTTAGCCAGGCATGGTGGCCCACATGTGCCGTTCCAGTTATGGGGGATGCTGAGGTTGGGGGATTGCTTGAGCCTGGGCATTCTGGGCTACAGTGAGCTGTGATCGTGCCACTACACTCCAGCCTTGGCCACAGAGCAAGACCCTACCTCAAAAAGAAAAAAAAAGAAAAACAAAAATAAAAAAGAAAGATAGGCTAGCTGCAGTGGCTTCTGCTTGTAATCCCAGCATTTTGAAAGGCCTAGGCAGGAGGAGTGCTTGAGGCCAGGAGTTTGAGACCAGCTGGGGCAACATAGCAAGACTCTGTCTCTACAAAAAATAATAATAATTAAAATAAAAAAGATGAAATTGACATTCTGTTTAGTAAATCAGAGTTCTGGCATAGAGCTAGATTGTGGGTGACATTGAAATTACACGGAGACTTATTTAACATTATTCATTTGCAAAATTATCTACCGAGGCTGTTAACTTCTGGTTTTCAAACTGTTTTACATCAGAACCAGGGACAAAAGATACAAATGCCACGCTTTTCCCCAGACATTCTGAATCTGAATCTCTAGGAGTGAGACTCAGGAATCTATTTTTAACACCATTCCCCAGTAATCCAGTGAACAATCCGTTTGAGGAATACTGCTCTAAACGCTCACCAGTCTTATTCCAAGCTACCTATGATGATACAAGTATAGACAAATCTAAAAAGACAAAGTTCATCAGGGGAGGTTAACCAAGGGTCAGCCAAATATGGTCCGTGGACCAAATCTGGCTCATCACTTATTTTTGTATATAAAGTCTTTTAATAGGAATACAAGTGTGCCCATGCATTTAGGAATTGCCTGTAGCTACTTTTTTACTAAAAGAACAGAGCTGAGTGGTTGTGACAGACGCCATATGGCCTGCAAAGTCCAAAATATTTACTACCTGGCCCTTTACAGAAAAAGCTTGCCAATCTCTGGCATAAATAGATGCCACAGTCTCTGAGGGATCAGGAAAGTAGGTAAACTAAGATAGGCTGGTAGAGTAGGTGGTTGTGTACAAATTGTCAGCTCCTTTCCTTGTATTCTAATCTCAGATCTGCCACATGCTAGAATGATTTAACCTTCTCCAACTGCAGTTTTATCTGTAAAAATGAGAAAGATTAGATTAAATAAAACTACACTTAAAAGCATTGCAACCTTTGTACTAGGTAAAAAGAAGAAAAGTGAATGAATCATTGTTTTTGCCCTCTGGTAGCTCAAAGTTGATCTGTAGGTTCCATTTTATCTTTAGTTTAAGAGGCTAGGTAGTGATTAGTATTGTGCATACATTTAGGAGTGAGACTGAGGACGCTGTTGAAAATCTGGTTCTGCCACTTACTAGCAGTTTAATCTTGAGAGACTCCTTTATGCTTTTTAGGCTATTCATAAAAACGGAGGTAGTATCTATCCCCAAAATGTCATGGTTAGGTTAAATTAGATAATGCAAATAAAGTATTTAAAACAATGCAGATCTATTCATTTGGCTGCTGCTAGTGTCATTCATAGCCTAGCATTTGTTTATCAGTGGCTACAGCACTGGTTGGGGCTGGACAGCTCTTTGTGCAAACCTGTTCAGAGCATCTAGCATCTCTGCCGACTAAATACCAATGGAGGCAGAAAATGTGGTATATTCATACAATGGACTGTTATTCAGTTCTGAAAAGAAAGGAAATCGAGTATATACTACAAAATGGATGAACCTAGAAGATAGTATACTAAATGAAATAAGCCAGTCACAAAAACACAAATACTGTATAATTGATTACACTTAAAGTGGGTATCTAGAGTAGTCAAATTCATAGAAAAAGAAGTACAATGGTGGTTTCCAGGGACTGGAGTGAAGGGGAAATTGTAAATGTTGTTTAGCAGGTATAGAGTTTCAGTTTTACAGGATGAAAAAGTTCTGGAGATTGATTGCACAACAAAGTTAGTATTTTGAACATTAGCGAATTGTACATTTAAAATAGTTAAGATAGTAAATTTTAAGTTAAGTGTATTTTACCACAAATTTTTTTTTGGGGGGGTCAGGTTTTCACTCCCACCCAGGCTGGAGTACAGTGATGTGATCATGGCTCATTGCAGCCTCCTGGGTTCGAGCAATCCTCCCACCTCAGCCTCCTGATTAACTAGGACTATAGCACTGCTCTACTGCCAAATTTTTAAAAAATTTCTTATAGAGATGGGGTCTCACTGTGTTGCCCATGTTGGTCTGAACTCCGGGACTCAAGGGATCCCCTGGCCTCAGCCTCCCAAAGCATTGGGATTACAGGTATGAGTTACCATGGCTAGTCCACAACTTTTTTTAAAAAAAGTTTACTTTTTAAATCATAAAAGGATATTATGCTTTTTTTCAGATTGCCTGCTAAAATTGTCTTTACATTTTCACTCCACTTTAAAGAGGCTGAAACTGGTTTCTTTGCTCTCTGTGAGGATTGTGTGTGAAAGTCCAGATAAAGCTCCAATCAATATGAAAATATGTTCCTATATGTTGTTTAAATGTAAAATGAGTGAAGGTTTTCATAACAGACTACTATGCATATTTGTTGGTTATATTGTACTAACTACAAAAAAGTTAATTATGTGTTCACTATAAGAATTAGTGGCTTGTTGAAATTACAATATAAATATAAATTGTTTTAAATATAAAACAGATAATTGTAATTATTAGTTCCCTTTAAGTACCAATTTCGCCAGTTTTCCACTATTGATTATTAAATATTGGTCTGATTCTGAATGAATTTGTTTAAATGGCCTTTTCCACTCTAAATCTTTCTTGGATAACAAAGAACTCCTTCAATTATTTCTTCTCTCCATATGACCCCCAACTCTCTAGCTTTAGACCTGAGCAAGCTAAGTTTTTCAGAACATGTCTCAGGACATGTTCACTTCAAATGTTTCTGTTATTCAAATTCAATGTTAAAAAGTCTAGCTTATCATTGCCCATCTAAAAATTACTTTCCTATTTCTCAATGTCATCATCTACGCCACACCAACCACAGTGAGATTACTGGTGTCTTGTCATTCTGTCTACTTCATTTGCTCATCCTTCATTTAATCAGTTTCCAAACTCTGCTGACTTTTCCCCTAAAATGCTATCTTTCATCTGTTTCCTCTTCTCCGTTCCCTCAGTGATTCCCTTAGTTCCAGGTTCTTACCACTCTTGTCTAGATGGGCACAATAGCCTTCTTCTTCTCACGTCTTGTGGGTACTTTTTTTTCTGTTCTAATTTTACCAGGTTAATTTTTCTAAAATGTAGGTCTACTCAAGCCCCAAAATTTTATTATATACATAATTATATATCTGGTTTATATATATATGTGTGTGTGTGTGTGTGTGTGTGTGTGTATCTTGTTTTATATCTATAAAATACTTCTTGTTTTATATATATAATACATCTTGTTATATGTAATACATCTTGTTATACATATATATATAAAACACATATATATTTACACACATACATATATATAGATATAAAACTTTTTTTTTAAGAGACAGAGTCTTGCTCTGTGACCCAGGCTAGAGTACAGTGGCATGATTACAGCTCACTTCTTCCTCAAACTCCTGAGCTCAAGTGCAACTTCCACCTCAGCCTCCCGAGCAGCTAG